TCGTTTTAAATGGCAGCTTCACAAATCAGACAGCAAAACAAAATAGCGCATTGGCCTTACGGGAAGGTACGATGGTGCAGCCACTTCGCAAACCAGCATGGCAGCTGCATGGCTCTCACTCACCCTTTAGGGTTCCATAAAATGCCCCATATCGTAGGTTCTTATTCTACTCAGGGCCTGTCCTTTCTCTTTCACTAAGTTCCTTGACACTCACCCCTGGGCTCAACAGTCACTTCATCCATCCTCCAGCCACGTCATGTTCTGTTAGCTGCGCCTCATAGATAGCTCCACAGCGGGATATGCCTCGAGTCCCTCATGGAGAGAGCTTACTTAGCTCTCTTTTCTGCTCAAATGTGCGTATTTTTTAGGAGACTTTGGTCACTGAATTCCCAGCATACAGCCCAGTAGATTTATTTGTAAAATACACTTCTAAAGGAATTCTTCATTTTTTAAGTTGCTGTGATTATACATACAACTTACTGTTTTTACCATTTTTAAGTGAACAATTCAATGGCTTTAAATACTCTTACGTTACACAGCCATCACCACTGTCCACCTATATAACTTTGTCATCTTGCAAAACTGAACTCTTAAAATGTTTGAATATATAAAAAGTTCAATAAGAAATGAAAAAAATGCTGTTTTCTCCACTAACCAGTACAAAAGGTTGAATTTCAAAGCTGCTAACCTTCTCCCGCTCAACAGTGAACTGAGACCAAGTGAAGTAGCTCTAAGTGGTTAGTGCACTGTGTTTGGGGCCCGAAGAAGTGGTTCTGAGGAGACTGCCCTGCGTAAGAGTGGTGGATCTGTGAGTGGGATGTGTGCTGATGCTTGCTTTGTCGTTTTTCTATTAATATGAAGAGATTTGAATTTGATGTTTGACTTCCTCAAAATATTTGGGGATTCAGAAATAATGCAGCCACTTTCTAACACTGTAATACCGCCTGCAGAAAAAGAATTGGCTGTCTGAATATCTGATGCTAGGATCCTTCCCCTCAGTGGAATTGATTGCAACGAGAAAACAGCCCAGAACATTGATGAATATATTAAGGCAGCATACAGCGAGCGCTGTCTGTTGCCAGCAAAGACTGCCTCTGCCTCAAAGACACATCCCTGGGGAAAGAGAAGCAGGGTTGTAATGTGCTCTATGGCCGTGGTCTCCTCTGGAGAACTGGAACACACTCCTGGAAGCAGGGAGAAGTCCAAGGTCCCGGATCGGACTGCAGATCCACACCATAAACACATCAGACGCTGCACTTAGGCCCCGAGCTCCTGGAAGGTCTGAGGCATTCTCCCCCTGAAGTTCCCCCAGGGGCAGTGCACAGGACACACAGCTGTGATGAACTCAAGGGCGCAAGTTATGTTAGCAGCTATGTTCTAAGTGTTCAGAGCTCTGGAAGTTTATCTCGGCACAGGACTGGTCTTCTCATACCAGTGTTCAAATGATGAAGTCCACCTAAGCCCGTCCACCTGCTACAGCAAAGTGCCATGCTCTTGGTGGTTTAGGAGCGACAAGTGTGCTGCTCACTGCTCCAGATCCGGGAAGGCCAAGGCCGAGGCCCCGGCAGCTGTGGCATCTGGAGAGGGCGCCCGCCCTGGCTCACCAGCCCCCGTCTCCTCCTGTTGTCCTCACTCGTGGGAGATGGCGAGCTCCCTGGGTCCCTTCCGTGTAGCCAGAACCATGCACAAGGGTCTCCCTCATTCTCTACTCCTGGCGGTTCTCCTCCCCACCCTGTGATGTAGGGGATCCCAGTCACATGCGCCACCCCCCAGCCGGGCTCCTGGTGGGAAGGATGCTCCCTGGCGGAGGTCACCTTGAATAGAAACAAGTGATGTTTCTGAATTCTTCCTGTCTGCCTGCATGGTGCCGGTGTGCTTTTCCTGAATGCCTCAACTTCTCCCTCAGGACAGTGTCCTGGCACTGCGCTCGCCCTCCCTTCGTCCCTGTGAGAAGACTGTGGCTCAGGAGTGTGGGCACCACTCTGGACTCGGCCCGTGGAGAGGTGGCACAGGGGCCTGTGCTGCGGCCTGGGCTCCGCTGTGCGGGGGTGGCCGTGTTCACAGCAGGTGGTCTCCAACCGCTCTCTCTAAGCATAAGTCCCAGAGCAGAGGGAGGTCTCTGGGGCACAGCTCGGCATACACCAGACAAGTGAACAAGCCTACCGACGGCACATCCACACCGCAGCAGCGCCGGGCTCCTCGGGAAGATCTCACAAGCTCAGCGCCTGGATTCGTCAGTGACAGAAACAGACTCTGGGCCTGGACACTTGACGCCCGCACTCAGGGAAGACTCGGGAGCAGAAACAGCCCGGCTGACGTGGCGCACCCATCGTTTCTAGGACGGCCCCTCTCTCACCTTGCCCTCAGCTAATTAACAACCCGCTGCTGCGGGAACACAAGCCCTGGAAACCTTCTCCCTATCCCAAAGGAAGCTCTCCCTCTGTTATGCTGCCATTCCGTTACACCTTTTCCGCTCAGCCCCTTAAGTGGAATAACTGCATCCAAGCAGTTCACCATCAAGAGCAGTCACATTTTAAATAAGCACATAAACTATCCAGAAAATCCACTTAACACAGAGCACTGTACGTATCTGAGGAAATAATCCATTAAACACTATTCAGCCAGCGACCAGCTACGGTGTTCAATAATTGCTGTGATTTAGGAAAATTTTCGTTGAAATAAGCAAAATTTGTTTGAAACACAATAATGAACAGAAGTGAACCAAAAGTATTACCTGAAAGTCCCTTTCTATTCACTTTTGTTTGGGTACAAAAAGATATAAACTTAATTTGCTACTTGCTTGAGCATTTGGTTTACATTTTTGCTCTTACGGCCAAAATGAAGTCGCCCGTTAGCTATTTGAGCTCAGCATTGCTCGTGGTAACAGCTCAGCTTTCAATGCTGAGCTCCTGTCTAAGTTCCATGTTCGGGGCGGGGGGCGGTTCCATTTTCAGCACTCACTAAATAATTTAAGTGAGTTTGATGCAGAGGAGGGGGTTCAATACGGAACCAGGGGCACCAAAGGAATCACTCTTACGAAGGGAAAACTCCTCTGTGGAGGACGGAGGGTCTATCTGTCCTAGGGGATGCTCGAGGGTTCCCTGGCACAAGCTGCTCGCTTTGTGTTTGCTGGTAAACTGAGTCATGGCTCGAATCTGTGTTATCACAAGGGTAGCACCCAGGAGAAGCCAGATGGTGCTTTTTAAAAAGAATCTTCTAAATAGTCCTGTTTCTAAAAATGAAGCAAATAAATTTTGTTCTTGTCTTTCAACTTCTACATGAATATTCTGTGTGGGCAGCTAGCTGTTTTCCATTCTCAGAGATCTGAGGATCTCAGTCCTACTCTTAGAACGTTTACAAATCAAAGTTGAGCGTGGTATATTCGGACCTCCCGGAAATGCACAGGGACTCCACAGACAGTAAATATTAAGCCCTCCTCATCGAGCTGTGTAAACTTAGCTGTTAGCTGATTGGATGTACCTGTGAAAAACCACAAAGCAAAAGTGCCTTGAGAGTCATTTATCTTCTGAGCTGTCCTGGGAGAGAAGTTGGTGATGCTTGCATTTGCAAAGATAAACAGCTTTTCTGGTAGGTTGAAGGGACCAGAGACAATCTCTGTTCCTAGGTTTCCAGACGCAGCGGTCACTTGAGAGACAGGTAGATGAGTCCTTAGCACAAACTGCTCAAAGCTGGTGACTGAGGTGAGCTCGGTTTGTGTCACCCCCTGCTCTCTGTGGGCATGATGGTGGGATCATGATCACCTTCTCTCCAAAGAAATAACAGCAGAGATTGGGTTAGAAGAACACAATCTTTCTAAAAGGAGAAAAATTTTAGTAAGTACGATGAAAAATATGTTCTTACTGGAAAGAAAATTAAACCTAAACTCTTACACACTAAAAGTTAATCCAAAGCTAAACTTGTGCTGTCATTGTACTCATACATAATTTATATCCCAGCATATTTTTAAAATGTAAATACTATAGATAGATAGATAGGTAGGTAGATAGGTAGATATAAATACTGAAGATTAGAGGTGCCACCACACCCCTTCCCTCCTACGAGTCCCCCACGTCATTTGTTTTCCCCTTCCCTCCCTCAGAAGCTTCCCTCCGGAAACCTTCCTAGCACTTCCTTCTTGGCGCTTGACAGTTTATGCTAGAAATTCTCTTGCCCCATTGCCTGAAGCTCCATAAAGACCAAATTTACGTCCTACTACGTTAGGTGCCAGGAAGTACCACAGTGCTGATTCATACATGCACCATTGTCCCCTGCCGTGCTAGACAGCTTTCTCCTGCCTCCCTGCTGTAACTCCCAACCCTGCTGCACTCCAGTACTCTAGGGTCTGCACCAGTGGCTCTCAAGCTTGACTGCACACTGGAACTGCCCAGAGAGCTGAGACAGCCAGACAGACAGACAGGTGCCCTGGAGGGGACACACTCCACGTACAGGGGAGATACAAGGTCACCTCCCCAGCATTCTGTATTACCCAGACTAATCATGAGAAATCACCAGATCCGATCTGTGGCCACTCTACAAAATGGCGAGCCCAAAGTTTTCATCCTGGTTATCTCATCTATTTCCCTCTTTTTAAATTTATTTTGTTTGAGACAGGGTCTTACTAAGTTTCTAAGTTGCCCATGTTGGGCTTAGACTTGCCCCCAGATCATGGTCAATTTTTTATGTTATGAGAATTTCATCTCTATTTCTATGATCCAATCTAGAATCCTACATTGGACGTGGGTTGGTCCCTGAGCCCGAAAACGGTATTAGCAGGACAACGAACGTTATTCAAATAAACCTGTAGATTAGTGAATGATTCTTCCTATTTCCTGCTTTTGATTACTGTACTGTGGTTAAGGCATCAGCATTAGAATAAGCTGAGAGAGGTTGAGATGGTAAGCCTCAGTGCCACTGCTGCAACCTTGTGGCAGTATTGTTTAAAAGTAGAAAGTTTGAAACATTGAATGACTTAGCACTCACCAATGTTTAATCCTCCAAGCTTTAATATAAGCATCAAAAATCTCCACAAGTGGTTTAATTCTAGCAAACAAATTGAGAGCAATGCTCTAAGCCAGTGGTGGTGGACAGTGGCTGTCCCTCAGAATCGCCTGAAGATTTCTTTTTAAATCCTAATGCTTATTCCCTGCAGTGTAGGAGTTAGGCCAAGGTATTGATGTTTTATTAATTTTTATTTCTTAAACAAATTTCATAGTGTACTTATTTTTAAGGTATATAAAATGATATCATGAGACACACATGTTGTAATTCCTACCGCAGTGACAGACTAATATAGTCACCCTGTGGCGCAGTACCTGTCCTGCACTCAGGGCTGGAACAATTTGCATCGGACCACGTGGCAAAATTCCCGACTGCAGCACAATGCTGGTAACTGTGGGCCTCACGCCGTGCATTAGGTCTTCAGACTTGTTCCTCTTACGTATATCTGCCGCTTTATCTCCTTTGAGTTAGACCTCCCTTCCACTCCCAGCCCTGCTGAATGACCGGTGTACGATTCTGCAAAGCTCTTCACCACCTGAGTCCACGCTGGAGCTTGGTCCCCATGAGTGCAGACTGCCAGGGTACCCTGCCCTGTTTCGTGGTTGGCAGCATGGTAGTGAGCATTTTATGTAGAAGACCCACCCCAAACCTACCAAAGCAACACTCAGGGAGAGTAGCATTGTTCATACTCATCCAAGATTGATTTTGTGCTCCGAAAGGCTTGGGGAGTCTTGCACGCTGTCTGAAAACTAGCTTTGGTCCACCCTCGGGCAATGAAGGTCGAGGTTCTATGTAGAAAGTGTTCCTGAAGAGGGTAGCAGCGTGGAAAAGTAGAGCCCGAGCAGCGCGCTTTGGAGGAAATCTGTGGGCAGTGACGGCCCCGCCTCCTCGGGGTGGAGGTGTGTTCCGGCGTTGTTGCTTATCAGTGCCTGACTCAGCACTTTCTGCATGCAGAGTCATCAGAGACAGAGTGACAGTCAGGTCCGGACTCACAACACTTGCGAATCAGTGTAGAGAGGCACGTGGGAAGGGAGGGGAGGGGAAGAACTGAGAGAGATCCAGATGCAGTATGATACAGTTCCCACGAAGAGTGGATTATGATGCATGACAAAAATATACCAACAAAAAGGCAGAAAAAAGAGAGACATCTGATAGACGAGTCAAGGAGTCCAGTGTTTCGGGTAAGTTACTCTTCAAATGAGTTTGAAACAGCCCAGATTCTGCCAACAAATAAGAATAACAAATAACAAATAATAATCAAATTGTGGAGTGTTTCTCCGTTAAAGGAATGAAACGCCACTACGTGCTGTAATGTGGCTAAATCTCGACAAAGTTTTGAAGTGAAATAAACTGGACAAAGAAGGTCACATATTGTACGGTTCCATTTACACAGGGCATTCAGGAAAGGTAAATCCATCGGGACAGAACGCAGAATCGGGAACAAGTGCTGAGTTGGTACGGTATTTCCTTTTGAGATGTTGGAAATGTTTTGAAAGAAGAGAGAGGTGGCATGTACACAATATTACCAAGGCACTAAATGCTTGATTTGCTTTACATTGGTTAATTTAATAGTATATATTTTTTACCTCAATTAAAAAAATAATAAAATGTTTAAATTCCGTAAGGTAGCATTGTGGAAAGGGGTAGAGGGACAGTGGGTACCATCAGGAAAGCACCCCCTACGATAAAATGATCAGAAAGCAGCCAGTCACACAGGCCTGGCCAGAAGAAATCACCCAAAGCAGAGGGCAGCCGTGCACAGGGCCGTGCTGGAAGCTGCACACGTGGCAGGAGGAGAAGCGCCACATCCACGTGGTGAGGAGGGTCGGGGAGAAGGTGGCGCCGGTGGGAATGCTGGAGCCCGGATTAGACCCTGCCTCTGCCTGTCCCTCTACTAGCTGGGGGGATGGGTAACGTCACTCAGTCTTGCTTGCTGCATCTGTAAAACAGGATGATAAAAGGACTGAGTTTATAAACTGCTATAATTAAATGAGATCATGCACAGAAAGCTGAGCCTAGCAGGAAGCCAAATGTGCTTAAAAAACAAGAGGCAAAAAAGGAATTGAAAACTCACTTCAGCAAAGGCCCTCGTTATGCAAGATGAGCTGCGGAGAGGGCCGGGCTTTGCATAATCCTTGCTCCTCCTGGTTACGTAACCGTGCTGCCGCTGCCCCGGTTCACAAGCCCTGCTCCGGTCCCGGTGTCTACGCCTCACTGCCCCGCGTCCCCGCACCCCTCCTGCCCCTCCAGCTCCTCCGAGCTCCCCGTCCATAGCTCCAGGGCATAGCTTCCTGTTCTCAGCAATTCCCTTCCTTCCCGCGTTAATTCTGTCACCTGGAAGGGTTTTACCGCCCAAGCAAATGTCCACGGGCAGTTTTATTTCCAACTCTCACGTGAATCTAATTACTTCCTCTTCTGACGCGCACTGCACCGGTTCCCTCCCCTCTCCCCTCCTGTTCGCTCTAATGGGAGTTAATGAAACAGTCTCTAGACTGAGCCTTTCCAACTAATTAAGATTTTCTTCTTTCTCTAATAAAGGCAACATGACCCATTACCTGGAGAGCTGAGCACTAGAATTTAAAGTACCCTTTCCTCTTTACAGTACTTAAAACCATTTTAATCTCACGCTGTCTTTAATAAGGCCGCTGAAGCACCGGGGATAGCTCCAGACATAGCTGTAAGCTAAAGCTTATTTTAAAGTGAGTTTTAATCACGAAGCCGGGGGGGATTACCTTACTGCCCGGGGCACGCGCCTGGCCTCAGTCTCCCCTAAACGACAGCAGGATGGACAGTGACTCAGGTAGGTCTCGTCTCCCAGCCACAATTGTCTGAGCGCAGAGCTCCAGATCCAAGAGTTAACCACACGCACGGGGAAGCCAGGATGCTGCTTTGTCCCTGGGAGCACCTTTATCGTGAGGGAACTCCGAAGAGAAAATGTAAGCAAATCTTTCCCTAGATTCCACTTGCTGCACTCAGCACATCAATCTTTTGCCAAGAAAAGGAGCACGGAGATTCAGGGTTTATTCTCCGTCGCTTCGGGCAGCCGAGGAGGACCGCGGCAGAGATGGCACTGCTTCTGTCCTGACGCAGATAAGACCCACTCACCTGCGGAGTGACTTGGTGACAGGAACTTCTCTGATGTGGGGTATTTGTTGTGACTCAGTTCATTTTGATTTTTAAGAGAAAGGTTAAGTTTTAATAAAGAAGAAGTATCCTTAAGGAATAATTTGAACACACTTAGAAACCTAACTGAAAATTAAAGACAGGTCAGTAAGTTAAAAACCACCACTTGTGACTACAGGTGTTAACCTCAGTGATTTAGAATCAGATGTGACCGGCTTTAATTCCAATCTTGTCACTAATTTAGATTTTCTTTAACTGGAAGAATTCACTTGACCTCTGTGTTGTCCCTTTCCTCACGTGTAGAGCAGGCCTCACAATCTCTTACTAGAGTTACTGTGAGAATCACACAAGGGGTGAAGAGAAAAGTCTCTTTCTTAGAAGGGCAATGCTAGAAATTGAAATTCAGAGGCTTTTTGTATCAGTGAGCTATGGCTGTATAACAAGCAACCCAAAAGCCAGGCATTGGAAACAACGCCCGCTGATCACACTCACACCTTTCTGAGTTTGCCACTTAGGTCAGGCTTGGCTGGGTGATTCTTGGGTCTCTTCCGTGCTCTCTCCTGCTTCTTGTGCTCCTACAGTTGACTCAATAAAAACCGTAAATTCCATCAATACTTATATATTTTACCCCTATTCAGGGATATTTCTCAAAATAGGAAGCAACCCGCCTGGTCGGAGCTTGAACCATCAGGTGCAGCCTGTCTGCACTCCTGACTGGCCACCTAGCGATCGCAGCTGTAGCTATTTTCTTTGCAGGAACAAAGCGCTGCTAATGGTGCCCGACTGGAGGTACCTGTGCCACAACGTGAAATCTTCCTGTCCGAGCTCCCATGCCCCTTGCATCTTACCGCTGATGAGTGTTCCTCTTCAGTTAGCGCCGCTGCTCCCCTAGAAGTCATACCTGAGACACCACCTACCGCCTCCTTGTTCTCACGTGAGCCCTCCCAAGACTGAGCCCTATGGGACACCGTAGCATCCATGTTTCTGCCAGCCTCTGCTCATGACCCCGCGGGTGGCCTCCTGGAGACTGAAGTCCTGTGCAGCTCTGGTGGGAGCCTTCGCCAGCGTCACACTGAGGGCGCCGGTCACAGCACGGCACCTAGGAACTCCTCCAGCCTCGGCCACCACCCAGCTCAGAGTCACCTCCACATTCCTAGGCATTTCCTGTAGTGGCACCACCTCTGGGTACCGTTTCCTGTCTAGCTTGTTTGGGCTGCTATCACGAAATACCTTAGAGTGGGTATTTGCTGCCGAAAAATACTTTCCGATAACAGAAATTGATTGCTCGCCGTTGCAGAGGTTGGGAGGCCCAAGGCCACGGCACAAGCACGGTCACGCCCTGGAGCAGTTCCGTCCCCTTCAGAGATGGCTCTGTAGAAGGATGAGCTGCTTCCTTGGGCCTTTTCAGGGCCCTGGTCCCAGGCAGGAGGGTTCTGTCCTCATGACCTTGTCACCTTCCAGATGTCCCGCTGCTTAATACCAGCACTTCGGGGATGAGAGCTCAACAGCAATTCTGGAGGAACAGAAACACGGACTGCAGCAGGTGGTCACTCTGAAGAGCCACAGAAGTCTCCATCCTGAGACCGAGTGCTCTCGGGCTGGAACCTGTGAAGGCAGATGGGACGAGTGTATGCGAAATGCCGGTGGACGGGCACGGGAGGGACGCTCGCTCCCCAGAGGGAGCAGTAGGAAAGCAGGAAGCCCAAGCCCCAGTGAGGAGGTCAAAGCCTAGCTCTGCAGACACCAGAGTTCCCGGGTCTAGAGTCACCGTTCGCCTTGCTGCTTCCCCCCCCCCCCCCCCCTGCCTGCAGGAGCCACCCCCTGGCTGTGTCCGCTGGGCCCACCTGGGAGCGCAGCAGGGACAGGCTCCCTGGGGCCGGGGGCGTGGCAGTCCTGCCCACCTCGGCGGCACTTTCCGGCCCACCTGCGTTCTGGGAGAAGGCAGTCTCCCAGCCGGTGAGCACGGTGGCCTCCCTGTGGGATCCAAGCGGCTCCACGCCTCCTCACTTCCTGCAGTCCGCACCCCGCATTGTTTCACGGCCCCTCGCTGCTGCTTTCCTCCATCGCTGGCTCCTGCTGGGTGCTGACTCCATCCAAGCCGCGCGCGCAGGACCTCTGTCAGGCGGCTGTTGGGCCGCTGCTTGACGCTCTCTGCAGCGCAGGCTTTCTCGCTTTTTTTGATCTAGACAGTTTCACAATTTCCTGAAGCTCCAAGTTCATCCTTATTGCACAGAGGTTCCTTATGCAGCTCCCCGCTCTTTCCTCCTGTTTTCCTGTGAGCGGAGGAGGACCCAAGCCACACCCACGTATTTTGCTTGCAAATCTCCTTGGCTAAAGACCCAGTTTTATTGTTCTCAAGCTGTGCCTGGCACAAAGCGGTAGACCATAATTCAATTGGGCTAGCTGCTACTGAGTAACCAGGTTACTTGCTACTGGTAACCAGGATACTTGCTACTAAGTAACCAAGTTACTTGCTACTGGTAACCAGGCCAGCCTTTCCTCTAGTTTGAAGTCCTCCTCATTTCTGTGTGCAGTGTCACCAACCAGCCTTCTTTTCAGTATTTCCGGGGACCTGCTCAGAATTTCTAGGTTCTACGACTACCTGTCCAGCTCCAAAACCGCACCTGCGTCTTTAGATGTTTGTCAAAGCAAGGCCTGGTTCTCAGCATCAAAACCTATATTTAGTTTCTCCAGAGAGACAAAAGCAATAGGAGATGACAGGATGAGTGGATGGATGGATGGATGGAGGGATGGATGAAGGGAGGGAGGGATGGATGGAGGAATGGGTGGAGGGATGGATGGATGGATGGATGGATGGAGGGAAGGATGAAGGGATGGATGGAAGGAGATATGGAGGGATGGATGGAGGGATGGAAGGAGGGATAGAGGGATGGGTGGAGGGATGGATGGGTGGATGGAGGGATGGATGGATGAAGGGATGGATGGAAGGAGATATGGAGGGATGGATGGAGGGATGGAAGGAGGGATGGCGGGATGGTGGGGGGATGGAGGGATGGATGGAGGGATGGATGGATGGACAGACGGATAGGTGAGTGGATAGGTGGGTGGAGAGTATGCGTGTGCACGTGTGTGAAGAGATTTCATTGTGAGGGAGAGGATCACTCAGGCACAGGGGCCAAACACCCCCAGCCTACAGTCAGGCAGCTGGAGATGTTGGAGGTGGTGCCCGCTGGGCGTCCAGGTTGAGTCTGAAAGCCTGAGAGCCCGGAGAGGCGGGGAATTCAGTTCTGCTCCGGAAGAGCTCATGAGCGGCCTGAGGCCCAGGAGGAGCAGGTGTTCTAGGCCAAGTCTGGGGCCCAGCGCAGCCGCGGACCGGCTCAGACGGTCGGGTGGGGAGAGCTTCGTCCCCGGCCTTCTCCTTGTCTTCCGGTCTCCGTGCAGTGGACCAGGCTGGGCACAGCAGCAAGGGCAGGCTGCTCAGCTGCTCTGCCAGTCCCCGCAGGAACCCTACCAGATGCCAGACCACGTGCCCACACCCAGAGCAGTGTCTGGCACCGGGCGCTTTGTGGCTTAGTCAGGCTGATGTCGAGAAAACCACCGGGAGGCTTTATATATATACAAGACACGAGCGCACACATGTCTCCTGTGTTACACACACACAGCATGGCTCCTGCCTTACACGCGCTGCATGTTTTTGTGGAGAACAAGGAAGCTGGAGGTTTTCCTGTACTTTCAAGAGTTGAAGGGAGGGTTTATTGAGTAGAGTATCATAAACGAAAAATCTGCCCAACAAAATTACTATATTCACTAGTGATTCTGCGAGGTAAGCTCAGAAGCTCTGGTCAAATAATAACTTCAAAATTAAAAAGAATCCCTGGAAATAATAAAATATTAACTATCATTTTCTTGGGGTGTTTTTTTTTTTAATTCCACTGTCTAAATATCTTCTGAATTTTCTAAAATTTATATGTATATTACTCTAATAAAATAATTTATGTTAGAGTAATAGTTTAGTAATTTTAAGAATGCAAATCATTCTTGTGCACATTACTAACATGTAAAATTATACAATAATTTGTGCTTACAGTACTAGTCAAGTCAACCAAGAAAAATCAAATTTGGTCCCACAGTTTCTATTGCAGAAGACCTTGGAAAGATATAATTTATTTTCAAATGTGGGGGTTTTTTGGTGTAAAAAATAAACATATAGTATGTGTAAAATACAACATGGACACCAGCAGGGGGCAAAATGCATAGAGATGATATTAAAAGTGATTATCTAGCTAGTAATCTATTGAGCACGTCTCCTGGGTGCTTTAGGAATTAGTTTTCCTGTAAAGCAATGATTTTGAAGATTGATCATCTATGGTGATATTATATATCTAGACAGAGTGTGCTTGACATGTAAACAATGTGGTAAACACTTTGCAGGTTAAAAGTATGTTTAGGGTCTATAGGAGTTTAGTAACTGTAACCCAAAGCGACATTTAAACTTTTTTCATATGCACTCCCTTCTATGCAGGAGTAAAGTGTTCATAACATTGTTTTTGTAGAACTTTTTCATTGAAAATTTTTTTCTTGGCATTTTGGAGGAATAACTTTTAAGTACAGTCCTTTTACTTAGAAAAATTTACAACGTTTTCCAGAAAAGCATGAAATGCATAAAACATTTCCTTTCAATAAAAGCTTGAAATTAGTCTGTGCATTTTGTAAAGTAAGAACGTGAACAATTGCATCATTTCCTTTTTAAATGACATGCGTTAAACATATTTCTACATCGGCCCGGTTTCCGCACACCAAATTCCTGCTTTGCAGCCGCGGCCTGCCCTGTTCCGCCAGCAGGGGGCGTCCGAGGGAGCTGCAATCGGAAACACGAGGCCTCCTTCCACGGGCTCGCGGGGCCTCTGAGCGCTTCTGCAGCGGCCCTATGGCTTTGAAGACTAAGGTTCATTCTGGCAAACTCAGCTCCGTTTACTTTGCAAGGAAATTTGCACGTTTATGGACTCTTGACGGCTCCGTGTGGGTGAGGGATATGAGCTAAGGCAAATTCTCCGACGCAGTGTATCTTCTCACCCACATTTTAAGTGAGGGTTTACTATATCTACTGTTTTTTTATCATTGTAAAACAATTTACAGATTCCACGTGGTTGTGGAATAGATCAGTTGTCCATTTCAGAAGTACGTGAAACTCACTGTCCTCCCTGCCTGGGAGCTGCACTCTGAGCGCTGAATTCCTAGGCTGCTGGCCAGTGGTGTCCTGAGGCGCGTGCGGTGTCGCCACCCCCGAGGCTGTCTTGGTCGCCCCATTTCTCTACCCTGTGCCTTCCATTGTCTGAATTCAGCCTGGACTGCAGTGTACGGTGACCTCAGTCACCACCAAGACGACCTTCTCTTACGTGTTTTTCACCAGGGGTGGAAATATGCAGAGCCTTCCTGAAACCAATGCCACCCTCCCTACTGCTGAGTTGGTGGCTGTCACACGGCTCCCAGAGCTCTGACCCGTTCCCTGCTGCCTGTGTGAGGCCAGCACTATTTGGATGCCGGGCTTTCTGAGCCAACTCTGTGTTCCAGTCTTACCCTGGCCGCATCTCGGGCATAGTGCTTGGCTTTTTCTTGTAGTTCCCTGCTTCTGGCTGTGCGCTGCTATCCAGTGGCCACTTGAAACTCGTCCTTTCCTGCCCGAGAGCCTCTTTTTGCTATTCCTTGACATCCCACACTCCTCGCCTTGCTGGCAGGATTTCTGTCATGTTCTGGTTCTCCTAGGGTCCTTTCATGCTGCTGAGTTAACACTGGCCTCACAGACTCCCAGGCCTCCCTAAATAGAAGGGCTTCTCCAAAAACTATTCCAGCTTAAAAAAAAAAAATCATCAGGAAAGCTAGGGCAAAGTGCAAGGAGCAGCACCATGTTCACATGGTCTCCAGCCCTCCAGGTGTGTTTATTTCAGAAGCTAAGTTATTTCCCTGAGCATTCCTTAAGTAAATGCTTAACTTGCTCCCTCCAACCAAGCGTGCATTTGTTTCTTCATTCTTCAGGCTAACACTGCTCTCCCCAGCATTAAAAGTGACTTAAGATTAGAAGGAGACAAGTGGGAAGGTGTAGACTTCTAGTGCAACAGTGTCTGTGCTTAGAGATGTAAGATTCAGGATGGAAATAAACCTGGTGCAATAGCAAGAATATTTGAAAGCGACCTCAACAACTCCTTGCTGCCCATGGCTCAAGTCCAAGAAAATACACCCAACAGCTGCAAAGTAAGTTTGCATCCACACCTTTCTATGTTCTTATTTTTGTTTGCCTGAAACGTCAATCATCTGCTGGAGAAAGAAATCTGTTACTGAAGAGTAGAAATTAACCTTATAGTGGAATATTATGCAAACAGCCATAGATACAGATATTTATACAGTGGCTTTCTACAGAGTGTCTGAATTCGCCAGCATTTGGCTAGAAGGAAATATTAGAAACTGTGCTGTCTGTAACATTTTGATTCTGTGGTATGTGCTCAAAAAAATGACAACCTTTATCTTATATGAATGTTATTTGATTTTCTTATTTCCAGTTTTCATTAGTAGAAACTTCTAGAAGCAAGTATCCTTTTTCATACTAAACATGAGAGCAAGTTAATAAAACAATGAAATTATAATACATATAATGTCACATTTATTTCCTATGAGAGCAATACTAATATTCTCAAAAGCATTGTTAGTATGAAAAAAATCATAGATTTAGCATTCTCTAGCCAGTGGCTGGTAAATTTTCAACCTGTCAGATTATTCATAAAACTAATGGAAAAAAGGACAGCAAGACAGATTGTTTTAATGGAGGACAAGAAAAATATTGGTCAAATGCAAGAGAGAAATGAAAGGTACAGAACTTTTAGGTAAAACAAGATTCTGTGGAAGTACAAGAGTTAGAGTTAATGAGAAGCTTAAAGCAAACACCTTCTCTGTGGCAGCTACAGCCAGCCACCCTGGGGCTGGCAGGTTTTCTCCCAGGTTTCAGCCTGTGTTCTTGGTGATCCTGCTGAAGAAAGGGAAAGAACAAAACCAGACATGCCCTGCTGCTCTGGAGCTAATAGTTATTTCTTCTTGGCACCGGTAGACAGTGGAGAGCGTTAATGAACAAGCAGACGCTTTCTCGAGTTTACCAGGAAAGTGTAATAATAACGAAGTTAGAGGGAAAATACTCATATTGTAGGTAGAGTGAGATAAAGATACTAAGCTGTAGCCGTGTTGAATTTCCTGTCTTTAGAAAATAACTGCAGCTATTGCCTGGCCTATGGGTCTACTTTATGAAGGAATCACTTCCTGATAAAGTGGTCAGATTTTGGAGAAGTCTGTGGACTTAGGCCCAGTTCAAGTGGCCATGACACAAGAGCAGGGTGCTTGGAGAAAGTGGAGAAGAAAGGGAGAGACACGAAAACCTTGTGCTTGTTACACAGCTGTGTCGGCAATAGTAGGAGACGGCAAGCCAAGCTCAGTGAGTCCTAGCACCGCTGCATGCCTTTCTGGCTCAGCAGCGGCGTGGGCCACAGAACAATGTGGAGCACCGTCTCTGACAGACACTAACAGCAGAGGCCAGGAGCATCTGACTTCTTTCTGCTGTAAGACTTGTTTCAGACCGCGGTTGTGCTACTTCCAGAGTGCTGCGGAATAAAGCCGAAGGGTGTCTAACCACATCCCGTTCCTTTGACAAGAAAGATGCTTTTCCAGACTGAGTCTGTGCCCTCCTCCAAGGCCTCCAGCATTCTCG